CGTAGTAAATTACTTTTTTTGCTGCCTAATAGCCGGCAGATAGCTTGCCGGAAAGATGCCCATCCGTTACCGGTAGCTCAGCTGGCTTGCGCCTGGATCATTTTATTCCCTTCTTTTCTTTTAGGTATTGCAGCACAGTAGCTGAGGAGTCTCCCACCTCTAGCTAACGTGTATAGTGTGTGAGGCGCCGGCCGAAGCGAACCCGGATATCGGCACAGGCAATTGCTTGATCGTGCAGCACTTTTAAGACACAACCTCTCTAGAGACAGCTGATCGCTATGTGATTGATTTTCTTCCATGGCTGGTCTGAGGCCAGTCAGAGCTATGTAACCCTGTGACGGCTGCTGTATCGCAAGTTATTGCTCTCGAGAAATAAGCGGACATCTTCACATTGCTTCAGCAATCGCTCATGGTTATCACAACTGGAGCCTACACCGTGTTGGCCGCTGGGCTGCAGCCCGTCAACTGGCAATTTCCCAATGAGCACTTAAGTCACCACCCAGCGATACAATTTGCTTTCTTTTGTGAAGAAGTAGCTCATTTAGTTGGTGGTAGAAGTCATCTTTCACCGAGTCAGTTTCACAATTTGATAGGGCGTAAGGAGCGATGTAAAACACACTCTCGTCCCCGCTCGACTTTAATGATCTGTGTGAGATCGCAAGCCTGGCGGCGAACATTCCGCTGCTGGCTGAGGTCCACTCGACCAGAGTAACTTTAGTCCAGGGTTAACGGCGGCCTGATGCTCGGCATTTGAAGCGGCTTCATTTCCAAATGGATGCAGTGAGAAATTGTCGCTAACAAAGGGCATCGGCAGTACGCAGTACCGAAGCTTCGCTGCCGCGCAACCACCACCGGTTGCACGCGGGCTAAGGATACTGCGAGGGTCGCGTTGCTGCTACGTAGGCTCAAACCCGCGCCGTAAGATTACGAGGAAAGCTCGTTACTAGGCTACAGGCCGGCAATAATAATGTGTTAGCTATACGCCGTAACGGCGCTTCGCTGCCTCTCGGCCATCACCAGTCGCGCGCGGGCTGCGTATACCGCGAACCCGCCCACCCCTACGCTATCCTTAGATGAACGCCACCATTTAGTCAGCATAAAGTTCGAGCTCATGTTTCCGATAAGTAGCGAATATGTATCGATAGGATCTCTAGTGTTCGAGCAAAGGCTACCGGTTGACCAATGTGCGTAAGGTACGCATTTTGAGGCGTGCCAGTCTTAACGAAGAGTGCTCAAAATAGTATCGGATGCAGTGCTATTGGCCACTTTATTGTGCATACGCTTTTCCATAGGGCAGGGGTGACGTTTGCCGCTGCGTGTGTTGAAACCGAAACATGGCTGTCGGAACAAAACTGGTGGTCTAAGTATCCTAGGGTACAAAACGTAGGTTAAACTTCTAGTGGAACGATAGGACGAAGAAGTAAGATGGAAAATATGAAGACGGGAACGCCTGAGAAGTAGCATCTTCACTTTCATCCACTTCACTCGATGTAATAGCTAAAGACCCGTTGATTGTCTTCTGCGACAGCCACATCTTCACGAAATTATATATAAGTTCATTGTATTGAGTGGGCATGATACTGTCAAGTTGCTCAGGCCTAGACTGGATAACGACTAGGGTTCTCAACTAAAGCCATTGATTCACAACCTGATTGCAAGATGATTTTGGCGCTGGACTATTACAGATTCGCTGTAGGGAGTCACATTCACTCCAATCCGTCACAGCGAGACTGAATCGTAACATGGTGCGACGGTTTGCATTATTTTTCGACTGGGTGATTCCCCTGGGCCCCGGGATGGCCCATGGTTATTGGTCAGACAAACTCAGTCTCCTGATCTTTTGAGTTAGGGTTGGAAACATGCTTTTGTCGATTTCTGTAAAATCGGATCGTTGCTACCTAGTTATCTTGTGGACAGGCTTTTTAACTAGTCTTCTGGTGAGAACGTTAATCCTTCTGTCTAGGTCTGTGCGCGCTAGCAATATCCCAGCAGACATACACCCATGACTATTTCCTCAAACTCCAACTACATTGGTCGCCTTTCTGTTGATGATGCTTGACCAATCTAGTATGAGTGACTCTGATAATACAAGGAGCACCAACCAACACTGTTGCATGGATCTTAGAAGTCCGCAAGCCATCTCATCACATTAAGGCCCAGTCTCGTCGCAACGGCCTTGATTCGAAACCATTAATCTGTTTGGTTTGAGTGGCTCTGAAGTCACCTAGCGTAGCCCCCTAGATCACGTTTATAAATGAATGAATGTTTGTTCTCTAACAAATGAGGCGTGTCATAATGTGACAATCAGCAATTCAGTTGATGGGCAATAGCACGAATCGATAATCGTTACCTCAATTTCAAGAAACACTTTACTTGTCATGCTGTGGCACAAATGTCAGGTGCTCGGCTGAAAATGAAAACATCCTGTTTTGCGTTATAGTAACGTAACCAAGACTCCGCAATGGTGTACAATTTGTAGTTGGATTATGCGCCAGGTATTTTACAATCAATTGTACACGCCAAGGTTGTTTTGTGTAATCAGGAACGCAACGGGTAGTCACCGTTCTTTGCTATTTGGTGTAGAAGACTTTACATTAGGTTTAAGAACTTCCAAGTGGTATAAAAAACAGCACTCCAAGATTGTTACTAGTTTGCGGTGAGAAAATCTGGCAATGTACAGCATCGTCACATATACTGGAGTAAAATACGTCAGTCAAACAACACCTTGTTAATTTTGCGCGTCTATCTCTTCAGGATCTCTTACACTTTTTCTAACCTAGTCGCATGTTAACTTACTCCGATACAGCTAACAACTTTGTTCGGCAACCGCTCATCCAAGCTTAAGGTTACCACCTCGGCAGAACCAATAATATTCCACTGGCTGAGCTGACCAAGGCCCACTTCAAAGAAAATCGTGATCCAGTCCCCGTAATTCGTTTGCACATCATGTACTCCGGAGTGCCCAACAATAAAAAGACGTCATTTACTGGGATAATTCTCACCCACGTCTATAACGAATCTACTTTTTGGGTCCTACACAGACCATTACATCCTTTCATACACTGACCAACCGAAATATTGATGTTCAAATAGCTACGAGTATAACTCCACCTAACTGGAGCTTATTATCCACGGGTCGTTAAGTCCTTGGTTTAATACTGTATGTGCGGTCTTGATTAGCAGACATTAAAACGGGATAGCAGTTGCGCGCCACGCTCAAGTGTAGCAATCCACTAGTGGAAGGTCTTCCCTCTTCTATGATTCACCATCATCCTTGCTCCCGTCAATCATGAAAGTGCATCCTAAGCTGCACTGGGTATCATGGGAACATCCCACTTGTAACTAGTTCGCCAGGAAACTAACTGAGGGGCTGTACTGACTAAACACTTGTCCACATAGCCGCTTAAATAAAAAAGCGCTCTGAAGCGGTTGCTCCCACTCACGCGTGTCACTTTTCACATATGACAAACCGACCTACCAAAGTTTCGTTAAAATTTCTGCACGTTTCAACAGGTTGTACGTTCGAAATGCAAAGCCCTGTTGCGACATTTAACTGACGCAGTTGATTCCCCTTTTTAGAGAGTAGTTTGAGGATCGAGTTGGGTCAGTTTAACTACAGTCAACCGTCCAGGTAGTTCACCGATTGTGATATGCAGGCGCATTCGCGTTATCTCAACCTGCGTGCAGCCGCTTCTGATTGCATTGTGGCGCGGCATCAAGTTACCGATGTGACTACTGGTTAGTGTTTGGAAACGCATCCTATAAGGCCCTACGGACTGTGTCGGCCGGTGGCCGAGTGGTTGGCACGTTTGCTTTCCAACCATAAGGTCACCGGTTCGAATCCGCGTAGGGGTGGGCGTCCTCGCGGTATACTCAGCCCGCGCGCGGCAGCGAAGCGCCGTTACGGCGTATAAGCTGACACATTTTATTTCATTTCATTTCCTACGGACTGTAACTCGCTCACTTTCTTTTGCTCTGCCTGTTATTGGAAGTCCAGCATAACCAACCGAGGAGGCGATACAGCACGAAGAGCTGAGTCAACGAACTTGTCTCATTCGACTTCGTCGCCCATGATTACGGACTTTGCTCTCGTTTGCGTTTTTTCTTTTAGTCTCTCAGTTTCAACTTCTCTGTTGCGTCTGATAGTACACTCATGTACCGCCTTGATTGGCCCGCCAACTTGTACATTATGTTGGTACTAGTATTAGCAGCTATATTTGTTTCTCTGCGTCACTTGAACCTTGGGTTGTGTAAACCGGCTGAGTCTCTACGCTTAGTTGCTCGAATTATTTGAAGCAATAGGGGCCAGTTTAGTTGCCTAGAGTATGTTACTTCTTGCCTTAGTAGCAGGTCCTCTAATAAGTTACCTTTGTCTATTATCATAATTTGTATGGGCATTTGCGACTTTGACCTCTCTTCGCTACTTAGGCCAAAAAGGTCTGAATTATCTTTCATGCGCCACTGCATTTGTGCTTGTTAATTTTCTGCAGAATGTGTTCATACCTGATGTTTTGAAGACTACACCAGATGCTAACTGCCTAGACACCCTTCAGTTTTCGTTAGGATTATACGGCACGAACGGTATGTAGGATCCTCGTACCGACGCTTCGTTGTGATGCAACAGCCAGGGGTTGCATGCTGGCTGTAGTACTACAGGGCAATCACACCTACGCAGATTCGAACCAGTAACCAGTGTAGTGTAATATGGTACTCGCCAGAAGCACTCCGACAGCACCACCACTGCAACAAGGGTTCCGCGTAACAAACTGTATGGATCTATTCTATAACCTCGCTTTATTTCCATTTCTTGCTCCGCTTACTTGCAGTTGGCACTGCAGCATCTGCAAATGTGTTCTATCTCGAATACTGTTTCTCACACTTCCGGCTCGTCCTAGTTTCACTTTAGTGTATGTTCATTCCAGTGTACATCCTACTACAAAGCCAACTGATCCAACCTTGCCGTTGCATGCTTTTAATTCGTTTCCTTTTTTAATCGACAGGCGCCCCACTGATTTGGTATCATCTGGACGCCCAGCTGCTTATCCAAATGTGTCACCAGAAATTCCTCCAGAGCATCGTAAACGTGATCAGAAACGCAAGTCGAAACCACGCCCCTCGCGTCGCTCTGTCTCGCGCTCTTCTTCGTCCTCGATGTCCCCGGCTAGTTGTGATGAAATTCGGCCTAAAGTGGCTCTTCCACCAAGCTCCTATAACCGTTCTCACCCACGAAGTTACCGAATTCATCGGTCCAACGACATACAGGAACTTAGCCAATCAACATCCGGCTCGGAGACCCCCACCAGTTCACCCAGTCCGGTTAAACGTCGGAAAAAGTCATACAGAAATAGATCACGTTCCACAACTTCCAGCTCTTCTGCGTCTCCGGAAGCGCTCCGACGAATTCAGTTGCATACACATAAAAAGCGTGGCCGTAAAAGCCGGCACGAAATAACCTCTCCGTCTCACCGTGTAGACAAATACCAAGAGACAATCGCCTCTTTATACTCTGATGTTAAACGTCGTCTTTCTTCCACCTCATCTTCATTAGCAAATGGCTGTGGTCGCTCAGCGGGGTTGCGATCCAGTCACCATAAAGCTAGTGAAGTTCCTGTTTCACGAAGTTCGTCCTCTCGCGAGCATAAACGTCGCTGATCTCCATTATGTACATGCATAGTCACTATTCTAATACGGCTCTGTACAAATTTCCTTGCATCATTTCTGCATTTCACTCAGATGTTCGCCAACTAGTCTCACCTTGTTCTTTTTGCTCAATTGTGAGCATAATCGGAGGGGATTGTGTTACTTGATTTCGGATCACATTGCATTCTTTCTTTTTGTTGATAGTACCTGACTCTTTGTTTCCTTCAGGACACCGTGACCATTCGACCATAGATACCGATCTAGCCTTCGTGAATTCTGGTTTGGCCGATTACGGACGGAGTCCACCCAGTTTGAGCATCGATAACATCCGCGTATCGCTCTGGTGATTATGATGGTCCTGGCTGCAACGCTTGGATTCCTCCGCGCCCACTGGCGGCTGCTGTGGTTAACGTTCGGTCAAGCGCCTCCGCCTTGCCCAGGTTAATACCTTTCCTATCCTGTTTTTCCTATTCGTTAGTGCATTATTTCAGAGTTGAGCGATTTTCGTGTTGCACAATGGCACAGAGTGTTGCTATTAGAACGAATAGCAGTTTTCTGGGCTTACATTCAGTCATGGTTTTGGTTTCACCGACCAATTGACGAACGTAAGTGACTGCACAGCAGTTACTTTTGCATGGGTAGTGTCCATATCAGCGCTTTCATTTGTGAACTGGGGGGAGTGGCGTTCAACTTCTGGTCCGATAAGTTGCAACCGACTTTTACATACATGCTTGATCATCGTTATCCACTGACTAAGCCGGATTGCTTTTGTAGACGTTTGCCTACCAGCGATCTAACTGTAAGCGTTCGGGTTCTGCGATAGTTGTCACAGTGTTGCTGTGACGTAAGACATTGCATTGACTTGAGTTGGCTATCACCGCACTTTCGGCAGTGGGTGACGTACTTTGTTGCAGTTGTGAACATATATTGGCCTAGGATAAGTGTCATCTGCGGAATATTTTGCTGATACATTAGTAATTTTACCGCATCCTTGACTACTGCGGACCGAACTTCTAGTGTTATGGTTTTCACGTTGCAGTTGGATGCGAGTCTTGTTTGGTAATCTTAAACCGATGTCTGGCCAGTAGAAAGCGCAAAATTGATGAGGTCCTGTTGCTTGCATTATGTCCATGTTCTGGCTCCAGATGCCAATCAATATTCCATCCATACTTGAATAGCTGCAATAGCGTACGGTGAAAGCGTTTGTCGCTTTGGCTTCCGGTTAAAGAAACTCGTCATCTGATTGGTCGTTTTTTATCATTACAATTTCGCAGTTTCTTTCGAAGCGGTTGAAGCAAGCTTGGCGTCTATTCCCGTTACTTTCATCCTCTGGTTTGTGTAACGACAACTGCAAATGCGCCACATACCTTTGCCTATCCTATGTGTTCTTTTCCCCAGTAAACATGTTAATACAAGTTTTCTCTTGATCTTCCATTGTTCGTTCGTAGTTGCTTACCAACACGTTGCGCTTATAATGGAGATGGGAGTTTGCTGCTCTCTCCTTTTAATCTCGCGCTTTTCGGGTCGTTTCAGCAGCTATTGCTTATTCCGCTTAGTTCAGCCGCTCAGTTAGGAACCAAGTGCAAAATCGTACTGAACTTAGTCCCTTTCATCCCATCTTCATAAAAGATGCTAACAAATAAGCAGCCAAGGGCAAATGGGGAAAACAACCACAAATCTACAGTAGTCAAATGAAATGATAAAATAAAAGTAGGCGATTCAATTCCGAGAGGAGTTGCAGTAAAAAAGTGCTGTTGGTACCACCATTGCGCATTTGCAGAAACGGATTCTGGATACGCAATGCTGCATCCTTAAGTGTAAATCATCTTTCGGTTCACCTCATCACGCTTTCTTGCCTTTTCATCGATCGACTACCCATGGACTGTACGCGATGTCAACAAGGAACTTTCAACAAAGCACCGGAGGGGCAAGACAACAGAATTTGTCAAACGTGCCTCGCTCGTTCGCCTTAATGTTTACTTCGAGCACAATCGCACTCACCATGGTAGCGTTGAACTTTTTTCTCATGTTGCGTTCGAGACAGTTTCAGTGTCCGAATCTCTCCATTAGTTACACATAATGATTAGCTCTTTGCGTTTTGCTAGTATACTCAAAGATGGAAAATTTGCCGTAGCGGGATTGTTAGTGCTGTGTAGGTGCGGTAGATAAAGTAGAGCTTTATTCCAGTTACAAATTTCCTGTACCCAGGAGAGTACGCTTGAACGTATCCACAAATCTATCCATTCGATTGTGATGAAACGGCACTGAGTAAATGTGATGGACGGCGCATCGCTTGCAGAACTCAAACTTACCGAAATAAATTGAGTGCCTTTGCCAGTTGAAAGCCGAATCTGCTAGATATTTGGCCCAGTCCTGATACAACTGTTGTGCCATCCATGAGGAGCGCTTCAGGCCATTCGCTGTAGAAGTCGACTACTATGAGGAAATTGCGGTCGTTGATCGATCCTGCGAAGTCGACATTGTTTCGTAGGTTTTTGCCTTGTAAGGAACTCCAATTTTTTGATACTTTTAGTACGTTGGCACACTTCCGACAAAGTTTGGCCACTTCTCACAGCTTTTTGTCCATGAAAGGCCAGTACACATACCTGCGGGAAAGCGCCTTCACTCGGATGCCTTGCAGGGTACTGCACTAAGTACGCACTTTAATAGGGCCTTAGGGATGATTACACATGATTATACATTAAATGAGGGGGAGAAATGCACTACAATAGAAAAGGTGAGATAACAAAGAAGCGAGGTACTCCACATTGTCGAATACAGAAAAAACTGATAACTGCTTAATAACATAAAATACTTTAAGCGAGAAGTTGTGGACAAAGACACTCAAACACAGACGCTATTTAGGTCGGCTCCTTGCAATGTTTTTAGGACCGAAATCAGGCAGCCGGGAGACACAAGCCGACGCCAAGTTCGGAGTCGGAAACTTCATTCTGTTGACCAAGTCATTGCTTGTCCTCCGTTCCATTCTCTTCCGGCACACAAACAACGCACGTCGCGGGAGTCGGTGTGTTGGCATGCACAACACATGGCTTAGTCATCGGAGCCTGGTGTGTGATATTATGGTGCTGAGCGGCTCACTCGCTCTTCCTGCACCAAATACGTGATGCAGAGTGCGCTCATTCTTCATGCATTGTTTTCACCAGATATGAGCTAAGCTGCGAAGGTAGCGGTGATCCAATGTAATTAGACTATGTCTTGCTTTGATAGGGCAGGTTTCGCAACCGTACAGAAAGGCTAAACAGACGATTGTATTGTAAACCCTGCTCTTCAGCGCGAGAGTAATGTGCCAGTGCAACAGGTGGCGGAGATAAGCAAAAGCACCTTAAGCCTTTACTATGCATTTTATTATATCTTTGATGCCACGGGTGCTAGATAGCGGCTTTTAGCTGGTCGCCACCAATAGTCCATGCGGGGGCGTTTGTCAAAAGCATTACCTGAAACAATTGACAGACAGATTCAATTCATACAGTGCGGCTAGGCACGTTTGAAAGCCGTCACAGATTAGTGCAATGTCGTTGGCATACTCAAAGTCAAGAAATCCCTCACCAGGAAGCAGCTTTACTTCTTCCAAGTCTTGTGCAATGAATACAGTGTCCATGACTTCGTCGATGGTGAAGTCAAAAGGGAAAGATGACAGCGAACAACCTTGAGAGCACGCTGGAGATGTAGGGCTACGGTAGCTTGCCCTAAACCCTCACTATGCCACAACTATGGCAGCATTCACATATTTATCGGGCACACTTTTACTGAGCAGACAGTCCCAAATGGCACATTGATCTACCGAATCGAAGGCATCTTTGATTTCGAAAAACACGGCTACGGTAAGTCGCCAATAAATATGGCTGTGTTCCAACAACTTCCACCTTGATTTCGACGATACCCGGCTTGCTCCGGGAGAACTTGGCATTCAAGGGTGCCAACCGATCCGCGGATAACCATGGAGGCAATTGAAATCAGACTGGTTCCTCTACGATTGCAGCATTTCGAACGGGAGCGCCCGTTGAAAACGGGCTATTACGGAGCGACTCCAATCTCCTCTCATGGCCTCAATATTAAGTTGTGCAAATCATCCACAAGAGCAGATCTTTCGAATTTATAGCGGTCTGGAGGAGTCTATCTTCTTTCACGGTCTTACTCAATTTTAACAGTCTGACTTCACTTTTGACTTCAGCGCGTGAAGAGAGGTCCACGCATTCGGCCCACGGAGAAAGGCAGTCAACTGCCGATGAAGAAGCTGTTAACTCTGGTTGCGTAAGCTGATTTTCAAAGGGTTAGGACAACGCTCCAAGCGTTTTAAGAAACGGTTGGCTGTCCACCCATCTCACGTATGCACTCGCTAACACCAGTTCTCCTGCCCGTATCAGACGGAATAACTTCCGCTGGTTATCAAGTGAGGCTGCTATTTCTATCTCCGAAATACGATGTGACAACCAGTCTTAGCGCTAGCACTCAGTTTCGCACTGAGGTCTTTGCGATCCTCGTGTTCGCTTTTGCCACATGAACACTTGCCTGCTGCTAATAAAGTCTGGTGGATATGCGACTAGTGGCCCTCTACTGCGTTCGGAGAGCGCTTACTCAGGTCCAATGGCGATGTAATTTGAGACTCATTCAGAACAGCTGGGAAGTATCTATGTGCTTTTAGCGTCGCTGCCTGCGCCCACCGATCGGCACAATTGTACGCATGGGCAGAGTTCGCTCTCGTGCTCCGATTTGAGCGAGAGTTTTGGCCACAGCATCTCTAACGATAACTTAGAGCGATGTCATCGGTTTGCGTGCATGGCTGCTCCGAGCTCGGTGCACGCTATGTCCTCCGGTGGGTACTGTGCTGGCGAGAAATAGACGAGCATCTTCACACAGGTATAGGAACCGCTCACTGATAACATTATGGGAGCCTGAACCGTCTACAGTTTCCAAACTTGGGCGTTCAGATTACCAGCAAGCAAGGCAAGTCATCTTTCGCCGAATCAGCGCTGCAATTTGGGGGCGTATCCAGCAATGAGTGGGTCGGTGGCCGAGTGCTCTGATTTGCAACCATAAGTTCACCGGTTCGAATCCATGTGAGGTTGGGCGTACAGCCGACACGTTATTTTTATTTTTATGCAGCAGTGACAAACAGGCACTGTTTGTTCGTGAGCAACTTCAAAGCATTGAACGTACCGGCCAATATGATGGCGCACATCCAAGGGTTGATTGGAATCCAGTCATCCAAAGCAGCTTCAGTCCGGGGACTCAGTGCTGTGCCCATACCGGCTGGATCAGTATTTAGAGCAACGTCATCTCCGGACAAGCGCCACAAGAAAATACCGCCAGTGTCGTTTATCGGGAACAGCGGTGTAATCACCGAACTCCACTCCTGCAGAGGGGTTTTTGATAAACAGCAGATGTCTACCGATAGTATCACCAGTGTTCGAGCAGATGTTGCCTGCTGCCCAACCTGTAATAAATTGCGCACGTTATAGCATGCCAATCTTAGGGAGGGCCGAGGGCTCCAAAGAAATACGGGTGAACTGTTGTTGTCCACCTGATTGAATATGAACTTGTCGACTTTGTTGGAGCGACGCCGTGCAGTTGCATTTGAGTTGAAACCAGAAGACAAGTGCCGATGGAAACAAGATAGGGAGGGTCGGGGATTGGGAGTTTGGAAACATAGGGGATATAAGTGAACTCGGAACGGGACGATAATGATGGAAATGTGTGAATTGCAAGGATGGGAAGACTTGAGAAGTAGCATCCAAACCTCTATCAACCCTGTTCGATTCCGAAAATATGCCGCGGTTGCTTGTCCTCTGTGACAACCAGGGCTTCGAAAAATTCTTGGTAGAGCAATTCATTGTATTGCGTGCCGAGATAGGGGAACGATTAAGGTTCTCAACCAAACTCTTTGATTCAAAATCTAATCGCAAAGCAGCGGGATTTCGGCAATGAGCTACGGAGTCCGTTTTATAGAGTAAGTAGCCATTACCACTCCAACTCTCAATCTGCAGTGCCAGGTGATTGAGTTGGTCTGACCTCTAACCACTGACCAATCTGGTATAAGTGGCTCTGAAGGCGCAAAAAGCACCACGCAGCATAGGCTAGTGGATCGCTGAGGCAGACAAAACCATCACATCACGCTACGGTCCAGCCTTTTCGATGGTTTCGGGATTATATCTCTTCCATAGTGGAGTGTGAAAGCCTCTGGTAGTGCTGCTGTATTTCGGCTGATGAATGTGGACGTGGCGAATCGGTTCCGCGACTTTAGTATTGGGCCGCGAACCGTTCCGCTTAGTACAGCTTCTACGGTTACTGGTAGTTCGCGTAATGCTTATCGGACTAGAAATCTGACTTCAGCTTCAAACGTCGACAGGTTATGGATCGTGTCTTCATTTGCTGTTGAGAGTCTGATGCTTGACAATGCGTCCGCTTGGCCAATGGAAACCGTTGTT